GTCCGAGTTCGGAGACCCCGGCCACCCATATAAACCATACAGCTCCGATCCCGGAGTCCCCGGCTGGTAGTGGTTAAGGCTAACTTTTCACTCCATCCAGGTAGGTGGAATAGGCTAAAAACACAGGTACTTTTTCCATATAGAGGTTATGCCTTAACCACTTCGTGCCGGGCCCATATATCCAAGTTGATTCTGCTGGGCCAGGTGACTTTTCTTTTTTTTTTCTTGAAAAATTCATAACTTCATTAAGTGGATGTTTATACCCACACGAATGACTCTCTGGTGGCTACTCTAATCTGACTGACACATCTATTGACATCGGAGTATTTCAGCCAGGCTTGCCGCCTTGTAAAAAGAGCCCAGATTGTGTGGTGTTACGTAATTTTCTTTTGTTCCTGAAACTGGCACAGTGCGCTGCTGACGTCTTTTTAATAGGGGCCAGATTAGCGTGCAGCGGTATTGTATCGCTCATCGCTGGAGCGGTGGAGCGCTTTTGTCCCCGGTGGTAATCCGCTCATGCTGAATGCCACAAACAGTGGGTTGGGTTAGGGTTAGGGTTAGTGACGGATTTACTCCGCTGTTGACAACTGAAAAAATATTGGCAATTCCCAGCAGCTCATCAGTCTTTTGTTCTAAGTAGGGTCTTTTGTCACAAGGCCCACCTTTTTTGTCAGTATAAAGCCTATGTCCCGAAACCAGGTACCCTGACACAAAGTGGTTAACATGTCCTCAGAGGGCACGAGCTTTGTATCACCGGGATAAGCTCAAGAAACTGAATAACTAAATAAAATAACAAAAGAGCCTCTGGCACACCATGGAGATTCCAGCAATTCATAACCTCTGTGACCTCCGACAAGGGTACAAATTCATCCATTTCCAATCCATTTTGAGAACCACAATAACGTGATGACAGAGTGTTTATTATTTAGACCAGTAATCTTGGTGGTTTAGTGAGTGACAGCACTGAGCCAACCAACCAACCCAAATTCATTGGTCCCACCAACCTTGGTCTATTGCCAGCGTCGGAGTCCATGCTTTCCCATCTTGCCAATTTTATTCTCAATTCCTGAGAAAAAAGTTACATTAAGAACAATTTGAAATACACCACATTAAAGTTACTTCACAACAGCACAACATCTGCAAAGAAACTTCAACGAATGCTGTTTTAACAGCAAGAGTCTTGCTTAAAAAGAAATTCCTTCATGAAATTGACTCTTCAGCAGACGGGTTCCACAGACGGCTGATAAAAAGTCACAAAAGAGATTTCTCATACAAGACTACAGACAACTCATTCCAGTTTTCCTAAAGCCTTGACCGAGGTACTGCTTGCTATGAGCAACAGTTGTCAATGAGCGTAGTGGGTGTCATAAGTGCAGTTCCACCAACACTATGCACTATGCTGACCTCAAATCTTCTTTCCTGTGTTAAAATTCCATCAAATGGTAATAATTAAGATATTCAAATGTTGAATTATTTTAAGGGCCTTGGCCCTGAGGCCAATCTCATAGAACTGCTTAGGCACACAATTTGCTTAAAGTGTGAGAAAACCTTGCTTAATAAACCAGGTAACCAGCCCAAATTCCATGTGATGTATATTGTTTTGGGATCATATTTGCTTGTCTTTTGGTTAGCATGACAATGACATAGAGTTTGAGCCGGTGACCTTTGTTTTTCAAGCCAGGATTTTACACACTTAAGCAAATTTTGTGCATCCCTGGGAAATTGGCCCTGGTGGTACCTCATTTTCCACCTGTAGTTGAGCCAATTCCTTCAACCTGTGCTCAGTGCGTTCCAGCTTGGATTTCAGACCACTAGCCTTCTCCTTCAAGAGTGCATTGTTCTCATTCACTTCTCTACACAACAAACAACGGTCAGAGAACGTCAGCTTTCTGGACAGATTGTCAAATGCACCACAAAATGCTTTACTACGAACAGCTTCTGCACCATAAATAATTTTTATACCACGGTCATGGAGAGAGAATCTTAATAAGACATCACAATCAATAATTTTCCTTCTAATTTAACATCTAATTTGTTGTTCAAGTGTTTTAATTTATCCTGCAATTAAATATGCAATTGTTACACATAACACTGTTTCACTGTAATCTATTACCCTGGTATAACAAAACAATTGTTACCTGTTGTGACGGTGTCCATGGTTTTGTACACCCTCGAGGGCAAATGACACCCTCAACTTTGCCTCAAGTACCATTTACCCCCTCCAGTGTACAAAAAAACCATGGACCCCTACACCACAGCCAACAACTGTTAAATGTATCATGGTAAAAGTCTATGGACGATATGTCGCTTCATGGTGTAAATGATAACATACATACATATGCTAAATAATTTCATTTTTTCCCAATTCAGCCAGACACCTTGCAATAAATAAAAAGAAAACGCATCAACCACAAAGACGTTATAGCCAATCGTCTTAGTTCAAACACGCCACGGGTTCTGTAACTTCAACGTGAAATCAAGACCGCATGGTACCTTTGGCTTCTTGTGTGCCATTCATCCCACGGGGGTAGAAAAACACCATGTTCCACACAACAAGAGCCAATGATGATGACTGTTGTCTACCTAACTGCTATAGGACTGACATGGCCTTCCAATTTTACAGCACAGACTTAGATCAACCAACCTGTAATATGCGACTTCATCCTGGAGTTGCTTGTTGTCCCTCTCTAGATCTACAAGCCTCGTTGCGTCATTCTGTACGGCTTTGGCTATGGCAGTCGCGTCTTCTTGATCTCGCACTTTCTGCTCAAGATCCTAAAAAGAATGTAGATGAAGAAATCAACAAATTCCAATTTTTACAAAAATGAGGAAACCCATCCAATCAGGATGATTTCAATTCTTGAAGAGGTCTCTAGATATGTTGAAATAAACAGTCCCTATTTGTGTACAAACCATGGGCTTTGTGTTTTTCAGTTGATTTCCTATTACAAACAAGGTAGAAAATCATGTTTTTGCATCTCAACTCTTAAACAGTTAAAAGTGATTAACGTCTGAATCAATTCTTTGCCTGAAATTGATGCCGCAACATTCGAGAGATGTTGTCCTTGAATTTTAAGGACTGAACTTCAATGACCAGTAAGCCCCATGCAGGAATAATACTTGGTACTCTGCAGCCCATTCACAATAGCCATTGATGGAAATAGCACAGGGAACCAGCTTGTATGGACATTTGATGCCAAGTGCAAGCAACTACATGTAACTGATAAAGGAATGGACATAAAAACCCGCACATGAGAGAAGCACACCACAGCAAACACGGTACTCAAGTGTCATTTCAGCTTGTTTTTAATTGATGAGAGCACCCTTTGACTTGGAGCCTGTCTGCAGAGCAGTCTCTGAAACATCTCTTCTTTGGGGTACAAAAAAAGGTCAAATTGAATTCAGACTGACTCGGTACCTTGATTTTTTGCTGTGCGCTCACTAGCTCCATCCGGTATTCTTCCATTGCTCTCCGATTACTCGATGCCTCTATGCCACGTCTGTACAAAATACAACACTCCTTCAGACATTAGGATTTCAAACACTAAAAACTTCATGAGGCCTGGATTCGATGAGGAATTGTTTAGATTCGTATTCTGCAAGTTGAAAAAAGTTTTAAAGAATTCCAAATAAATTTTACCCCCCCCAACAAACACAACTTTAAATATCAATTTTAGAAAAAGGCATTGAACTAAATTACACAATTCCAACCTCATTTGATGTTGGAGTCGTGTCTTTGCTTCTTCAACATCTGTCTGCAACAGCTTGATGTCTGAAGTTTTCCTATTATTCCCAGAGGAAAAGAGAAGACTTTCAGAGCAATTCACAATTACACTCTCCAAACAGGTCAGATGCGGGGTAAAGTCATAAGACCTGTCATAAGACCAGTCACAGGACCAGTCACAAGACCAGTCACAAGACCAGTCACAGGACCAGTCACAAGACCAGTCACAAGACCAGTTACAAGA